CAGCCCCCCCCATTTCAAAACTTTTTGATATGCCACTGGTCTAACATGCTTTGCGCTGAGATATGACAGATATGTTCACTTTTTCGTAGAAAGGTTTTATCTTGCTTAAGACTAATTTTGCACTGTCCCATTTAGGTCGCTTGACAGGCAAACCTTCATTCACATGGAACATCATGCAGCGTAACACTTGCTTAGCAGTAGGCAAGCGCGAACCAGCGATCTCAGAATCTTGGATCGTTATGCTCAGGGTGGCGCCAGCGGGCTAGGGCCCCGTCGGGGAGAGCTGCCCCCACCTCCCGTCAGGAAGAAAAAGCACAATTCGCCGGGGAGAAAAAAATATTATATGTATTTTTTACATATAAGTAGAATCTAAAATCGATTAAAAAAGCCCTTTAAACCCCTAAATTGTCGAAATTTTCGGGGGCTTCCCCCCAGAACCACTTTCGGAACCTTTTAATCGAAGCTCGACCACGCCTACTTTGTTTTCGTCGGGTAAATCTGACACCTCGTCGGGGACCTCGTCACCCTAGGTTATGCTTGGACAAAGTCCATTATCTCAAACGAATGCCTTGTTGCCATGTGTCTGATAGTTCTCACATTCTCAGATCCCTCTTTAGGCAAAATTTTGCCAATGTGACAAACCTTTTGCACTAGATTATTATTATTGTCAATGCCTGTTGTGTCAGCAGAGCCAGAACAGATAGCTGGTGTAAAATCCATGGTTGTACAGTCTTATGGAATCAGTACGGCTGACTGGATGATTTATATACACTCTTCAGGACTGTTTTGATTTCAATAAACAGACACCAAAAACGCTATTGTAATTTTGAGACAAATGGTGTTCAATAATGAGGTCAACTGTTGTGTTTAATGTCTGTTTTTTCAGTTGCCATGGCTACCAGGAAAATATATAGTCCAATTAATTTTACTTATCCAATGTAATATTCTATGGCTCACATTATAGTAAAATGTGCTTAACATTCCAATATATTCTGATGATTGAGTAATCTGCCTGATACTGCATATACAATATATTTACATTTGAAACAAAAAGATTAAAATAGCTGAAAATGTCAATATGATATATATTCAATTGCTTGGTTGACCCATTATTGTCACCCCAAATTCAATAAAACTTTGCAAAAATTGTTATTAAAGCATGGAACAAATTAACACTAGGGACAGTAAGATATGGAAAAGTGGGGGCATGGTGTGATATATATATATATAGAGAGTTTCATCTGGTTTTGTATCTGATAATCCAATTATTTTTACATAGTAAACCATTTTTTGATTTACTTACGCTAGCTTTCGTCTTGTTGTCAACAAGAATTCGTCAGGCTGGATGAGCTGGGCGTTTTTCATTTAATTTCATTTTATTGTTTTTATTTAACACAACGCAAAAATACAATATAGAATTCTTTAGAAAGGTAAATAAATAACAAGGACAATGTAATCTAATTAAGTAATATTAAATAATTATTAAATTACAGTAAATAGTAATAAGTGAAGATATAATAATTAATAGTAACAATAATTGATAATAACAATAATAAATAATAATAATAATAGAAATAATAATAATAATAATAATAATAATAATAATAATAATAATAATAATATTAAGGTTGTGTGCGGAGGACACAATAAGCCATTAAGGTTTTAAGTATGTGCATCCAAGTTTTTTTTTCTCTTTTGTGGGGATTTCACCCACCTTTACTTCTTTCTCTTTTTGTTATTTTTTACATTTTTTTTGTCATCAACGACATAAAAATATCAAGAATTAAGGAAATTAAAATTAAATTGCACAGGATATGGGGGTCAGTCCACCATGGCTGACTAAATTGTTGGTTTTACCTGCATTATCATTTACGTTAACATTCTAAATAAAATCATTATCTCAAAACCAATTTTTGAAAAAGTGCATCCATTCAGAATTGTGTATACGATTTAGAACACATACAATGTGCAGATCCACTCATATACACATACATATATGTGTATACATACGCACCTTATTATCATACACACATAACAATTTAATATTTAATTTTTTTTCCTTAAATTTATTTATTTCTTTTTTTCGAAATAACACCATATAAATTTCTCATATACTTTTTAAGTTTAATACATTTACCTACACATACAGTAGTACAAGGTCAGATAATCATGCTGACCAATAATGTTTCTTTATAATGCACCTATTATTATCTGCATACATCTATATAAATACACATATACAAAAACACTCACATACATACTCATGTACATATACCCATATATACACACATATATATACATACATATATATATATATATATATATATATTATACATATATATATATATATATATATATATATACATATACATATACCCACACATACATATACACATACATAAGTCAATATTTATTTATTTATTTATTTTCTCTTTAATGGTGAGAACACCATATTTATACTTCATAATCATAATAGGCCTAGGGCTATATCTCTCATACTGTAATAATTTTTTTTTCAATATATTTAAAACATATACCTTTAGCAGATTCTTTTTATATACCAAAATTAAAATTCCCTAACAATTAGAGTAGGCCTAACGTTTGAATATCTTGCACGTTATATTTGAATACAATCCATGGATTTATAGAAACTGGTTTGTTCAATTCGCTTAATATTTTAATGTAATAAATAGAATATGTTGCAATTGAATACAATGTATTTTTAATTCTGGAACCAGAGCCTAAAAGAAGTTCTTTAAATGAACTGCTACGGTTATCTATCCTTTTGAATAAAAGATCTATATTTTTCCATAGTATTTTATTACGTTTGCATTCAAAAAACATGTGTTTTTCATCATCAATTTCATCGCAAACGTTACATTTGTTACTACTTTTAAGTTTCCAATTAAATAATTGTAGGTTTGTAGGAACAATTTTGTTTAGTAATTTATAATTTAACTGTGCATATTTTCTGTTTTTTTTCGTTTTTTACTTTTCTTATCCAAACATCACTCCAAATTATTTCTTCGTTGAAAAACGTGTCCCATTTGCGTGTACAATGAGATGGAATTGATTTTTCCTTAATAAAGCTTGCATAAATAGATTTTGTTTTAGACTTAACTATATTATTTATTATGTTACATTCGTTCGTAGCCATTTGCTCATCACGGTTATGATTTTTAATTATAACAATCCATTCTTTTGGAATAGCTTCAATTAGTGATGCGTATTCCCTGAGCCAATTTCTCTTAATACATAATTTTTTAAGTATTTCTTCTGGTTTCATTAATCGATTATATATAATTATATCATTCATTTTATTAAGTCCTGAGAGAATCCAGTTCTTATAAAATAAAGATTATTTTGATGTAAAATATATTGACAGAAATGTTGTAAAAAATAAATATTAATGTGATGTAATGTAAAAATACAGCAAATGTGATGGCAACTCTGCTGCCTGCACATTTGCTGTAAATTTACAGAGAATTTTTTTACAGTGTATGATCTTTTATATTAATGCTTGACATACTAAAAACTAGACGTGCATCTGCAACTTTATTTATATAATATATATATGTGCCTCCAAGTTAACTTAAGCTAAGTAATATGCATAGTGAAAAAAGGCTTAAATTAATTCATCAATACTGTAAGCTTAATTACAAGGAAATTGTAATATTTATAAAATAAGAAATGATAATGTAATAATAATACAAGTAATAATAATAATAATAATAATAATAGGCTATAAACAATAATAACCTTAGGCCGAAAAAATAAATGAAGAAGTACTAACAGCATCAGAACAGAACAAAACTAATAATAAATGAGAAAAAAATGGAGCGATCTTAATATTATTATAACATGTACTTTTGAATAAGAATGTTTTTGTATCCATGTTTGAAAAAGGGTTTATATTAGGAACTTCTTTAAGATCAGATGGCAGGTTATTCCACAAATATGGTCCGGTGTAAATAAAGGATATTCTTCTAAGAGAGGTGGAATGTCTCACGTAAATTCATTATTTTGCAGTTGCAGATCTGGTATTATAAGGTTGTTGTTGACTAAAACTTTTTAAAATATGAATAAAACTAGAAATTGAAAATTGCAAGTAAAGTGCTGCTAAAGTACAACTGCATATAAATGTTCTTCGAACAAAATTATTAATGCGAGTCAAGTGAAAATAATGAATACTAAAAAATATAACAAATAATATTGAGACACGACCCATTGTTGTCTATATTAAAAGACTTCTCATTGGGTGACAAAGTCGTAATTTTTCATTTTTGTCAAAAAGTGTCTATAGTGGTGAATTATGGTTTAGGTTTTTTTTAAAATAAAGTTTATATGTATGTGGAAAATGTAGTTGATTACCAAAGGTTACAATTAAAAGACTGCATGGTCTAGGAAGTGTACATTTTTTTTATGGGGCAAGTTTCCAAGGGCGGGTTTTCTAGGGGCGAGTTGACTGCCAAAGAGTGTTGCCAAAGTGCGAGCCAGCGTGTTATTTGATCACAA